AGCCACCATACTCGTGACGTCGCTGGGATTGGAGGGCAGTAGGACTGTGTTGGAATCCTTGGCAAGCTTGGAGAACGCATTGACATACTGCTCAGCCACAGTCAGGGACGCTGCTGCATCTCCATTCTATGGGCACGGGGGATAAAATCAAAGGTCACAGATTGGGGAGAGAAGAGAAAGGTCAGGTTCCTGGAAAGGGGGTACACAAATCATAATACAGAGCTCTCATCATCTGGTTTAATGGAGCCCACAGTGTCAGGAACTCCTCACAAGGATAGGTAAGTGAAGCCCTTCCATCTATTCCCCCCCCCCCCCCCATCCCCAATTCCCACCCATCAGCCTCTTACATGTTGAGCCAAAGCCGAAGCCAGGATTCGAATTGCTTCAGCTTTAGCCTTGGCCTTGGCCAGAACTGCACTGGCCTCTCCTGGAAGGAAAAAAAAAAAAAAAAAGACAGTTTGACCCATGAAATCAGAGTACCCCAAAGCTCCGGCCCCAGCTGTGTTGAAGACCCATGCTGTGTTCCTCCCTCAGCCTCTATGCTACTCACTGCTCACCTGCTGCCTGATTTATCTGTTCAGCCTTTTCTGCTTCGGAGGCCAGAATCTGGGCCTGTTTCTTCCCCTCTGCCACATTGATAGCTGACTCTCGTGTCCCTTCAGACTCTAGAACTGTGGCCCGTTTCCGCCGCTCTGCCTCTACCTGGAAGCCCCAACGATCCCCATCAAAAAGAAGCCAGGGGCCCTGGGCAGTGGTGGCACACACCTTTAATCCCAGCACTCAGGAGGCAGAGGCAGGCAGATCTCTGCGAGTTCCAGGCCAGCCTGGTCTTTAGAGTAAGTTCCAGGATAGCCAGAACTATTTCACAGAGAAACCTGGTCTTAAAAGAGAAGAAGAAGAAGAAGAAGAAGAAGAAGAAGAAGAAGAAGAAACAGCAGCAGCAGCAGCAGCAGCAACAGCAGCAGCAGCAGCAGCAGCCAGGGGACCTCTAAGCAGGACTTAAACTATATCTATCATCTACCACAATAGGGGATTCTAGTCCTATTGGGATTGGAGTACCCAAATACTGTTTCCCCACCTGCATCTGCATAGACTCTTTCACTCGGGGTGGCACATGGATATCCTTGATCTCATAACGCAGGCAGCGGATACCCCAGCAGTCAGCAGCCTGGTTGATGGCATCCACAATGTTGGCATTCAGAGACTCCCGCTCCTAGAGAAAGATAAATGTGAGCAGCACAAGTCAATGTATCTATCAAGAGCCTAAACTGGAAGGTCCTTGAGACTCTCTGTACATAATCTTGATCTCCAGAAGAGATCTGACAGGGCAAGGATTGTGCCCCCAAGCCCTCAGGCCCAGGTCTGCTTACTCGAAAAACTTTGTCCAGAGAGAGTTTGCCAAGCTCCGATCTCATAGTTGTTTGAGCTAACTGGGTGACAGCATACTCAGGGTCTTCCACACCATAGCTTGCCTGGAAAAGGCAGTTATAGGGTAAGAATATAGGGTAAGGATATAGTTTGTTTTTTGCTTTCTCAAGACAGGTTTCTCTGTGTAGCTGAGGCTGTCCTGGAACTCATTGTGTAGACCAGGCTAGCCTCGAACTCAGAGATCCACTTGTCTCTGCCTCTCGAGTGCTGGGATTAAAGGCTGCACCACCACTGCCAGTTGAAGATACAAGATTTTAATGAGGGCAATTCAGAAAGCTGAATAAAGCCAGGGGTAGATACCTTGTAAGGATCCATAATACGTAGGTAAAGGACTCCATCTATTTGCAGAGTTACATTGTCTGCAGAAGCAAAAGAAAGAGAAAAGGAAGGCAGTTCGGCCTCTGTCCCAACCAGCTCTTTTTCCTAAGCCCTGGATCTATATCAACCACATGCTAATGCACTAGCCGCATCCTTGTCACCCTGTGTCTCTCACCAAGGGTCACAGCCGACTGCTCAGGCACATTGATGACAATTTCCTTGAGGCTCTGCACATATCGGATTCGGTCTAACACAGGGATGAGTACATTCAAGCCCTAGGAAAATAAGTTATGGATTCTCAGAAAAAATGGGAGTAATAAACTTGAAACCTAAGTCTGGAATAAGCAGAAAGTCACGTATGGTACATACACAGGAAATCGATAGCTCCTACCAAGACATGTCCTCAAAGGCTGAGGTGTCATTGATAGGGAAAACTAAGAGCACAAGAATGAAAGACTATGCCTCTGAACGTCAACAGAATGGGAGCCAGCAAAAATACCCATCTTTAGGCATAAAGGCAGGTATGAGAGGATGGATAGTTCCAAGAATGTAGCCTGTGGGATACTAGGGTAACTGGAAGCAGTGAAACGCGTTTGTGACGGTCAGGAAACTGGGCTCTGCTGGAACCGGTCCCGGCCAGGGACGGTCCCAGTTACTAGTCAGGAGGCAAAAGTGCAGACAGGGCCCAGGGAAGTCTCATTACCACACGAGTAAGAGATTTGATCACTTGACTGGCAAGAGGTAGACAAAAGAGGTTCTCACAGGTTCCAGGATCCGGTGGAATCGGCCCATTCGCTCCACCACCCAGGCCTCCTGCTGAGGCACAAACAGTACCACGGTGTTTCGGGGCAGTCCAGAGGAGGCGCGGCGCGGAGCGCGGCCAGAAGCCTGCACGGAGCCCTGAAGAAAGAAGAGATTCGACTGAGGACTCGGCGAGGAAACCACTTCTATTCGGAAGGCATGTCCCTAAATCTGGCCCCCCAAGGATCCCCGGAGAATGACTCACGTGGGGACCATGACCTCTGACCCCAGTCCTTCCCCAAAGTTGGAATCCCGCTCCTTCCCAGCTGAGGACCCAGGTGATCTCTGTCCCGGGCCTCTGAAGAAGGTTGCCTCGTTCTCACCCTCAGCAAAAGGGCTCCAGTGCCCCGCGCCGCGCGCGCCAGCATTTCCCACAGACTCAGTGACCTCCGGAACCAACGAGAGGTGGAGCAGAGCGGCCTCTCCGGGAGCCTAAGCCCGAGCCCTTCCTCCTGAAGTTCCACTCCGCCCGACGTACTTCCGGCGCCTCATTCAACATTTTGCCCTCGTCCGCGCCCCCCCCCGCCCCCCATCGGCGCACTTAACAGAGCGTACGTCAAATCGTTCCCTGGGAAACGTAGACTTTGAAGAGAGAGCCCGGGGCTGCAAGTTTGCTCTGGTTCTCACGAACCAAGAAATTCCTAGGTATTGTAATCGAAATTGAGGTAATATCCTGTCTGCGGATGGTACAGAAACACCTCCCACCGAGTTTTGTACCCACAGCCGTGACTTACTTTACTCTCCAGCTCTTATAACTGCCCTAATCTGTTACCATAACGCTCAATGGTTTGGCGCTGACTAGTTGCCGTGGTTGCCATAGTAACATTCTTGTAGTCCTGCTGTTGTGTTCAACCCTCCCACTGGGGACTGACCCCATTCCCGTTGTCATGGTAACCAGGAGGCCTAACTTTGCTTGATGGCCATTTCCCCTCTTCCCTCTTTTCCCGAGGCATCAACAGCTCTTTCCATATTTCCTGAGCCAGAAACTGTCAGGCGTGATCCCTTTACATACAGAGGCCAGCAAGGAGCCTCAGCCTTTCATTTGTCTAGAGCATGTCACTTTGCTCAGGCCTCTTGACACTCTCTCCAATACATCCTTTAAGTAGCCTGTATCATCATCCTTGTTTTACATATAAGGACACCGAGGTTCTGTAGGGCTAAAGTAACCTACGGCATTCGTGTAAGAATCCAAATCCTCAAAGTTTAGCTTCTATAGCTTCACTTTACCCTCCTAACCCCTAGCACCTTATTATATGAAAAGGAATAAGACTATGCTCCAAGAATCAGCCTGACCTAGCTTAACATGCCATAGTGTTAGCAGCCTGTTGCTTCCTCTTTAGAAGAGAGAACAGTTCCAGCTCAAATTAGGCCCTATATCTCCATCCACATGCTCGGAATATAGAAAAACAGTAGAGCTTAGTTCAAGTTTCCAAACAAGAATTTATTTTTTTCTAAAAAAATGTACCAGGTACAATTTTTCCTGTTTTTGTTTTGTTTTGTTTTCAAGTTTCAGCAAATGCTTGTTCCCCTCAGCCAAGCCCCAAGAATTAAGAGTTGAGGCTGGGTCAGAGTTCTTGAGTGGGGAGTGGGGTAACTGGGAACCACATGACTGAATACAAGGGGCACCCCTTATCCCAGCTGAGGTAGGTGGGTCAGAGTCTGGTCAAGTGAGAGGAGGCTCCCCAGTCCTTAGGCCTGACTCTGTCCTTGGACACCTTCCTCAGTCAGGACCCCAAAGCAAGGAAACACAGGCAGAAGAAGAGGGACAACTGAGTCTGAAGCCCTAGGTAAGGGGTGTTTAAACCCCTGTGTTACACATACATGCACATTCTCTCTCACACACATACACACACCCCATACAAACCTAAGTTTTGTGCATGCACATACTTGCATGGGCAAGCACACACACACTCGCACGCGCACGCGCACATACACACACACACACACACACACACACACACACACACACACACACACACATATATTTC